ATGGATGGGTAGGTAGATGGATGGATTGATGATTAGATGGACTATAAATGTCTGTATCTGAATCTACACACACACACACACACACACACACACACACACACTGCATTGGTAAAAAAATGGACAATCTCCTGAATAGGTACCAGGCAAAGGAAAAGAGGAAGAGAGGAGTCAATATCCATACATCTAAGTCAGGTGATGGGAAAGACGATATACCATAAGAGATTGATCAGACTTGGTTAGGAATGAGTTCCACCAATAAATTCTATTTCATAATGTTTAAAGACACTGTGGGCGAATGCTCAAAGGACAAGTTGGCCTGGTTTGTGATCTTTTTAAAATTTTATTTAATTTCTTCTTTTTAAAATTTTTTTTTGCTCAAAACGCAATCAATGGGTCAATAATGGTCTGTCCTCAGGTGATCAGCTCGTGCACGGCAGCCACCAGGGGGCGCTGCGCCATCTTGGAATTCTCCTCTAATGTTGAGGAACTCTGGTGATTGTGGGTTCGAGTCTGCTCCCAGGAACCTCATAAAAAAAAACAACAAAAACCCCCAAAAAAACACCCAACCGCGCTGGAGCTCTGTGGCTGGGGAAAAAACATGCTGAGCAGCCTGTGAAGAGATGTTCTGCTACCTGTTTGTCTGTCTCGCTTTCTCCATCTCTCTCTTCCCATCTCTCTCTCTCCCCTTTCTCTCTCTCTCTTTCCATCTCTCTCTCTCCGACTCTCTCTCAACTGTCTCTCTCTGTCTCTCCCCATCTCTCTCTCCTCATCTCTTTCTCTCTCCCCCATCTCTTTCTCCCTGTCTCTCTCTCCATCTCGCCTCTCTCTCTCTCTCCTCTCTCTCTCCAACTCTCTCTTTCCGACTCTCTCTCCCCCTGTCTCTCTCTGACTCTCTTTCTCCATCTCTCTCTCCGACTCTCTCTCTGTCTCTCCGTGTCTCTCTCTCCGTCTCTCTGTCTCTCAACCGTCTCTCTCTGTCTCTCTCTCCCCTCATCTCTTTCTCTCTTTCCCCATCTCTCTCTTCTCTCTCTCTCCCCCTCCATCTCTCTCCGACTCTCTCCATCTCTCTCTTTCCGACTCACTCTCTATTTCTCTCTCTCCGACTCTCTCTCCATCTCTCTCTCCGACTCTCTCTCTCTATTTCTCTCTCTCCAACTCTCTCTCCATATCTCTCCATCTCTCTCTCTGACTCTCTCTCCATCTCTCCCTCTCCGACTCTCTCTCTCTCTCTCTCAACCGTCTCTCTCTCCATCTCTTCTCTCTCTCTCTCCATCTCTTTCTCCGACTCTCTCTCCGACTCTCTCTGTCCATCTCTCTCTCTCCATCTCTCTTCTCTCTCTCCCCCCAACTCTTTCTCCCATCTCTCTCTCCATCTCTCCCTCTCTCTGTCTCTCTCTCCCCAACTCTCTCTCTGACTCTCTCTCTCCCCATCTCTCTCTCCATCTCTTCTCTCTCTCTCTCCGTCTCTCTCTCCGACTCTCTCTCTCTGTCTCTCTCTCTCTCTCCATCTCTCTCTCTGACTCTGTCTCTCTCTCTCCGACTCTCTCTCTAACTCTCTCTCCCCATCTCTCTCTGTCTCTCCATCTCTCTCTCTCTCTCTCTCTCTCTCTCTCACACACACACACACACACACATCCACACACGTACCAAGAATTGGAGTCCACTCCACCACAGCTGGTCCTAGGCCATATCTGGGTTTGCTCGACCTATTATCAAGTGTGTCCTGATGCCCAGAGACCTCAGAGATGCACAGAAATTTCCTGAACAGAAATCCTGAGCCGTCTTCATCACCTCTGATAGGTTCAAGTCCACCAGTGAAGCCATGGGGTCAAGGGCAGTCCATCGCATAGACTGACACGGTCCAGCCCATGGCTGCGGTCACGGTGCCCATCCATTTCATGGACGGTCTTCCTTTCTCTGTCTCTGACCCTTCACCTTCCCCAGAAGGATGTCCTGATCCAAGGATAGACTCTCTTGAATTTCCACACCCCCTATGTCAGATGCCTATGTTGCATAACTCCTTCTTAGAATGCTCTGTTTCCTGACTCTCTACAATACCCATAGCCAGAGGTACAGCTCTCTGGGGACATGGTTTGACATCTCCAGGTCTTCCCCCCTCCTCCCTATAAGCTGTGAAGGTGCGTGAGGCACAGAGAGGGAGGACTGGTAGGAAGTGGTGGGTGGATGGTAGTCATTTGTGACAGATGCAATCTCTCTTTCATCTGATGGCCCCACTCTCCGGTCCCCAGCGAGTCCCCACCCACCCTCCATGCCCTCTCTTCTAATCTCCACTCGGAATCAATCTCAGAATCGCCTGAGAACTGGAAACCGCACCTCATCTCTGCTGAGCTGGCCCCTTCCCACACCACCAAGAGCAACCCAGAAAGGTAGGGGAAAGGTTGAGCTGCTTGAGGAGGTGCTGTGACATCAAGGAGCAGTTATATTGTCCCCTCATTGTCCAGGAGGAGAGGGCTGGGGGATTAAAAACATTTTAAGACACAAGATTGGGGGGGGGCCCAGAAAGGATGCAGGATGTTTTGTGCAAACTGTTGCTTTAAGAGGCCAATCACGTGGACTCAGAGAGACCCTTGTGAGATGCAGATCTGAATCTTCTCCTGCCTTGAGCCATTCTCACTGTCTCGGATGTCTGAGGTCAAGCATGGAGTGGACAGGGAGATAAACCTGTGGACAGATGACCGAGTCTGTGGTCATGGCCTGTTCACATCTGTGGTAAGCACATGGTGACCACATATCCAGTAGCGTGAGGCCAACATGTTTGTGTCATCTTTTGGTCCAGCCTGGGGCGAGCGTATGGTCCCATCTGCGGTGGACACAGTGGCTGTGGTCAGCATGTGGACATCCCTCTGGGAGGACGGACACCAGGAGGGTCAGCTGGGTGTTGGCAGAGGACTGCAGGATGATCAGCATCAGGGTGGCTCTGAATCTTTTCTCTGTCAGTCTGGCTGCAGCCTGAGTGTCCTGCATACACACACATGGTCACTACTGATGGATGTTCTTCATGCGGTCAGCGTGGGGCAGGGTTTGGAGAGTGTGTGCCCAGTGCATGGGGCTGGGCGCTCCCCATGGGGAACCTGGGGGCTCAGACCACACCTCAGAGATCACCAGAGGGTAGGGCTTGTCGCTAAAGGGCAGTGCTGTGGAATCTCCTGGCTCTGCTCTCATCTGAGCTGCATGCGTGGACAGTGAGATGGAAGGGGTCAGGGCCCACAGTACACAGGAGTTCCTGAGTTGACCCGTTAGAGAAAGGAGATGCGGTGTGACAAAAGAGATGAGAGAGAGAGAGAAGAGAAGAGAAGAGAGGGAGAGAGGGAGAGACGGAGAGGGGAAAGAGGAGAGAGAGAAGGAGAGAGACAGGAGAGAGAGGGAGAGAGGAGGAGGGGGAGAGGGAGAGAGGAGAGAGGAAGGAGAGGGAGAGAGGGGGGAGAGGGAGAGAGAGGAGGAGGAGGAGGAGGAGGGACACACACACAGAGCAGGCTTATAGGGAGAAACACACACACACACACACACAAATACATACACATACAGAGAGAGACACACACATAAACACAAACACACACACACACACACACAAATACATACACATACAGAGAGAGACAGAGACACAGGAACAACAAGTGATTGCAAAGACCATGGCCTGTATCAGGCGCACCTTAGTCTCCAGAGTGACACCGTTGCTCTTCAGTACCCAGGAGAGGTCCCTAACAGCAGCAGGATCCCCAGGTGCAGTGTATGTGTCAGGGGTCAGGGAGGGATGTCAGGGGTCAGGGAGGGAAATAAGAAATCAAAGGCCTGTGACAGGTCATCAGGAAAGAATCAATGGCCTTTCCCACCTGGCCTAACTAAAGGCTGACCCCTAGCCCACCGTGGACTGTCCCTAGCCTTCCTCTGGACCCTCAAAGCCCTGCTGTCAAAACCAGCCCTAATGCCTTAGGCGGTGTCACAACACTAAACCTCCGGGTCGGTATTTCCGCCTTTGTTTCCGCCCGGAGCGTTTTGTGTGAGACACTTTCGAGAGGAACCCGACTGCATTAGGCGGTGCGACAACACTAAACCTCCGGGTCCGCATTTCCGCTTTCGTTTCCACCCGGAGGGGTTTGTGTGCAGAACCCGGAACAGTAACCGCCGGAAGTAGCTTCACTCTGCTTCGTTCACGCGTTGCTGTTATTTTGGCGGGAATTTTAGATTTTTCCTCGATATTTATCGTCACTGTCGAGGAGTCACGACCCCTGAGCTTCCCCGACGGCTCCAGCAGACGAGTGTCCGGAGCGGCCCTGCTCCCGGGTGTCCACGGGCCGGGAGGTGAGTGTGCGCGGACGACCAGGGTGGTGGTCAGTCCCAGGGGTCAGGAGGTGGGATTACGCAGAGGACCAGGGTGGTGGTCAGTCCCCGGGGGTCGGGAGGTGAGTGTGCGCGGACGACCAGGGTGGTGGTCAGTCCCCGGATGGCGAGTGTGCGCGGAGGACCAGCGTGGTGGTCAGTCCCCGGGGGGTGAGTGTGCGCGGAGGACCAGGGTGGGGGTCAGTCCCCGGGGGGTGAGTGTGCGCGGAGGACCAGCGTGGGGGTCAGTCCCTGGGACAGGAGGTGGGTTATGCAGAGGATTACGGTGGTGGTCAGTCCCCGGGGGTCAGGAGTTGAGTCTGCGCGGAAGACCATGGTGGTGGTCAGTCCCCGGGGGGTCGGGAGGTGAGTGTGCACACAGGACCAGAGCAGTGGTCAGTCCAAGGAGGTGAATGTGCACGGAGGACCAGGGTGGTGGTCAGTCTCCGGGGGGCCGGGGGTGAGCGTGCGCGGAGGACTAGGGTGGTGGTCAGTCCCTGGGCCAGGAGGTGGGATTATGTGAAGAATTAGGGTGGTGGGAGGTGGTCAGCGGGGAGGACCAGTCGCTCTACTCAGCGCTTCACACCCCTTGCCACAGGGGGTCACCACGCGGGCCTGGGAGGGAGGCTGGGACAGAGGCTTTTACAAAAGTCCTCACCTCCCAGAAATGACACGATTTTGTTAGAATCATAGGATTCCGTATTGATAGAGCGTGTTGGTCAAGAAAACAGAACACCCAGCTCAGTGAAATCAATCAGAGTTCTCTAGAAGCTTCCACAGTCATCCAAGCTGCAGGGTGACAAGAAGCAGGAGAGGAAAGGTCCCTATTATGAGCCGAAAGGTCATCTGAAATCTTTTTGTGGCCATTTACCTTGTCTGTTTGCTTGATAAAAAGATGTGATCACCTTAGCATTCATCCTTTACCTCTCGCCTTTAAAATGGACTTGATTGTTCTGTTGGGAAAGCCTTCAGTGGATGTGAAATCTTGGCAGTGGCCAGTCACCTGTCCACACCTCATCTTTCTCAGTGTATCTGCTTCCCTTTAGTTTTAACCATTTCTTTTCTTTTTTTAAAATGCTGTCCTTTGATGTGTTCCCTCTTGGTTGGTTGGTTTTGCTTGAAAAGGACACGAAACCTTTTCCACTTTTAAGCACTTTGCTGTAGCCACGTTGTGGCAGCATCCTGGTCAGTGGCTTCTAAGTGTTGCTGGCACAGGAACAGACAGTAGTGGCTCTGATACATAAAGTTCTCCATTTCATTTTGTGAAGACCCACTGCAAAGATTTGAGAAGCGTTGATGCTTTGATCAGAAAACAGGTGCTTGTGTCCCCAGCATCCCGTCCGGCAGAGATCGCCCACTGGCTGTGTCCTCTTTATGATCTGCTTTGACCCAAGATGGACCAGGATCACATCTGGGTCCAGAGCAACTGGAGTGGCCTGGATTGCCTCTCCCACAGTCTGGATGAACGTTGCTGCCTGGAGGACGTCAGGGTCCTCCATTCCTGCCTGGTGAAGGCTGCTGTCCTTCTCTGCTCGGGGACGAGGGCATTTTCCCATCTGTTATTTTGTTCATAGAAAGAATAGGCTCCTGAAACTGTGTGCAGAAAAGACTGCTTTGGGGCGATCATGCTTCTGATGACTCCGAAAATGGGTATTTTTCAGGTTTCCAATCGATGGTATTTTTATGTTAATGATTTCCTATTTTGCATAAAAGTTTTTTTCTAATTAATGATGGCCAGTGCCGGTGGCTGAAAGTGTCCGATGGTCATTACACAGTCCTGGGAGGAAGGCAGGGACTGAGGCATTTTACACACATATACTTGGACCAAGAGGCAGTAGTCAGAACAGAGCAGGGTAACACTGCATGGTTCAAAATAGGGAAGGGTGTACGCCAGGGATGCATCCTGTCTCCATACCTTTTCAACATGTATGCAGAGCAGATTATCCGAGAGGCTGGGCTCTATGAGGAGAATTGTGGCATCAGGATTGGTGGAAGATCTAGCAACAATCTCCGTTATGCAGATGACACAACCTTGCTTGCTGAAACTGAGGAGGACCTCATGCACTTGCTGCGAAGGGTCAAGGACTGCAGCCTTCAGTATGGACTAAGGCTCAACGTCAAGAAGACAAAGATTCTCACCACTGGACCAATTGGCAGCGTCAAGATGGATGATGAAGAGATTGAGAGTGTTCACGGCTTCACTTTGCTCGGCTCCACAGTTAACACTCTTGGTACCAGCAGTCAGGAAATCAAAAAGCGTATCGCGATGGGAAAGTCTGCTGTTAGGGACCTCTCAAACGTACTCAGGAGCAACAGTGTCTCTCTGGAGACTAAGGTGCGCCTGATACAGGTCATGGTATTTGCAATCGCTTGTTATGCATCAGAGAGTTGGACAATGACTAGGGAGGACAGAAGGAGAGTGGATGCTTTTGAGCTGTGGTGCTGGAGAAGGGTACTGAATGTACCCTGGACTGCCAGGAAAACAAACAGATCCATCTTGGAGAGGATTAAACCAAGCTGCTCCTTGGAGGCAAGGATTCTGGGGCTTCATCTGACATACTTTGGACATGTTGCCAGGAGGGACGGGTCCTTGGAGAGGGACATCATGCTTGGGAGGGTGGAGGGACAGCGCAGGAGGGGAAGACCCTCTATGAGATGGATTGATTCGGTGACTGGGGTAATCGGGATGGGTGTGTCAGAGGCGGTGCGGTTGGCGCAGGATAGAGCAGGGTTTAGAGCTGTTGTGCATAGGGTCGCTATGAGTCGGAAACGACTCGATGGCACATAACAACAACAACAATCTTTACGAAATCAGTTTGCCCTGCATGAACTCATGTCTATTAAGTTTTACTGTCTGAACCGAAGTTGACATTTGTTTTCTTAAGTGACCATATTTGGATCCCAATACTTCCGCCTAAAATGACTCCAGAGTAATGTCAGGGGTTCTCCAAAGAGTTCTTAGAAAATCGCTCTTCCTACAATAATGGAGTTTGTGATGAGGTTCTTTCTGCCCTGCTTTGATGCTTATGTACTTAAGTCGGGTGAAGACTTGACAAACATGAGTTGGAAGGAGTGTGTGTGCTGTGGACCCTGTTTTCAGGAGGACAAAATTTTGGAAGAGTTCTGTTTTGAGCTCTTGCCAGTGGTTAGATAGACATTTTTCTATACTCTAGGAAGAAAAACTATATTCACCAGGGTTCATTTTTAACCTAAAGCTTCAAGGCGATGCAGAGATGACAGTGTGTGCGGTGTGGTGGGGTTGACATACAGGTTGTTCTCACAAAGATTCTCTCTTTTCCAAAAGGAAACAGTCTCCTTGGAACACTGATGTTTCGTATTAGCAGTGATCAAAAGGGAATGTTGGTCATGAGAGCCACATGGAAAGCCTGTGTGATGAAACGAACTAAAATTCTTTCAAAGAATTCAGAGTCTTTCATATTACAGTCTTAGTAAGAATCAAGCAGGAGAATAGATCAGAGGGAAAAAAGGTTTTGAGATATATATGTGTGTGTGTGTGT